AAAAATTTTTTTTTTTTTTTTTTTTTTTTTTTTTTTTTTTTTTTTTACCGAGGATCGATTGTTTTTCTTCTTTCTGGCTATCAAGTGGAGGAAGCAACAGGAAGAAAATTTCAGACCATATTTATTGAGTTTTTTTCCCTTCTTCCAATCTCTTTTAGTTCCTTGATGATTATGTTAAACTTTTTTTTATTAAGTTTTTCTTCAATTTTAGCATGAATTAATTTCTATTTTCTAGAGTTTGAGATGTAGCCTAATTATGATTATGTGAATCTTCCTTTACTTGAATTAATTGGTATTTGTTCTGATTGTTGAGTATTTCATTCTGGAGTTAATGCTTGTGAATGGCTGATCACCGTTCACTTGAGTTGGGATTCAATTTGAGATAGAGAAGTAATAATTGTTTCCGCCTGTGTTTGAGATACCACAGGGATTCTGTAGGATAGAGATGTCTATGGACTTATGTAATCTTTATGGGTTTTATCTTTGTTCTTAATGAATGTTGACAGGTTTAGAATTTTCACAGAGATATAGAAAATTTTCTTGTTGAGATATTTCGTTAATGCTTGAGAAAGATTAATGAATAAATTATAGAGACTCGATTATCAACAATAAAGAACACTTACAATTAATTTAACTAGGATATTCACATATGAGTAGTTATGGTGAATCAAAAACTCTAGAATCTTATTTTCTTGATTTTAACTTGCTTGTTCAATTCTTGTTAGTTTAACCTTTCTAGTTAAATAATTCATTTACATTCGAATTGTCAACTAGATTGTCATTTAATAATTTTTTATACTTATTTATAATTTTTCATTCTTCATGGGACGATACTCTTGCTCATTCACTTTATTACTTGTTACGACTTGTGCACTTGCGAATTTAACCAACAAACACTCAAGTATTTGCTCAGTAAGAAGGACACAAAGCCAAGATTTATCAAATAGGTACTTCTGCTATAGGAATTCAACTTGGAAATCATGGATAGAAGGGGAAGTGAAAATTTAGTAGTGGCCCATTTATCTTGTTTGAAGCAACAAGAAGAAGATCCTGAAGATAAAATTAAAGAGGTATTTTCTGATGAGACACTTTTTGAAATCAAGTTACCACTTCGGTATGCTGATTATGTTAATTATTTGGCTAGTTCTACCATTCCTGCGGAGTATTCGAGTCAATTGAATAAGAAATTTTTCAATAACCTGAAGTACAACTTTAGGATGATCCATTTCTTTATAGACGAGGTCCTAATCAAATCATTCGCCGTTAAGTGTT